CTGCTGTGTCACTTGAGGGCGGTTGTTTTATCTGGAAAGGGGGTGAGCAGCTTTGAAAGCCTGTTTCTATCCGGCTCCACGTGCGGGGGGAGACTCGAAAATGGGGGGGTCCTCAAAAGGTGCAAATTGCAGCTGCACAATTAAATAACGGGGTGTGTCCCGGCCTCGGAGGTCCCCTGGGCAGCACAGCCCTAACGAGGAGACAGTGGCATTACTAATCAGGGCTTTGACCTTTACATGGCTTTTATTTAATACACATTCCACACTTCCCCAAACTCCCATCCAAAACATTGACATTTCCGCTGATAGATTGGGTCAGATTTTGGAGTAGTTGGGGGACTCGGTTCACTCTTACAATGGTTAAATTCTTACAGCTAAATGGGCTTATTCAGTTAGTGCAGCAGCTGGTGTGATTTCGAGAAGAAAATAAACATTTCCTTCAAATATTTTGATTGGCAACTGGACAACTGAAATACTCAAGCTTGGATTGCCAGGGTCCAAAAAAGCAAAACGGGGGCTGGCCGGCGAGCGAGGCGAGCCGAGCCGTAGTAAATCCTGCCAGGCAGGGCTTCCACGCAGACCGTCGCAGCACCCGGGCGCGCGTGCGACGCACGGGGCTCTGCCTCTGCTGGGGAAGGGGACGGTGGGATGCGGTGTTTAAAGCTTCACAGGCGGCTGTGATTTCCGAGGGAAACCGGGTCCCTGGGGGTACAACTTCGCCCCCCTCCTCTTTCCTGGTGTTTGCTGAGCACGGCGCTTGCTCCGGGTTGCCGGTTGATGGCTGGCTGAGCGTGACAGAGGGTTGCTTTGCTGCTGAGTTAGGTGGTTATGGAGGGTGTTAATGGTGATGTTTTATTTGGACCTTGCTGGGGTGGTTTCAGTGGGGATCTTCTCAGGCACAGGGCAGGAGGGCCGATGCCCCCGGCCGGGATGGCGGCATGGGGCTGTGTGGCTCTGACTTGTACAGATTCGCAGGGTGGAAGGGCAGCCCTGAGGCGAGGGAGCTGAGATGGAGGGGGAGCGTTAAGGTGAAGATTGATTATGGAGGGGCAGCCGTGAGGTGAAGGAGACAGAATGGAGGGGCAGCCCTGGGATGAAGAAGCAGAGATGGAGGGGCAGCTTTAAGGTGAAGGAGACAGGATGGAGGGGCAGCCCTGAGATGAAGACTGAGATGGAGGGGCAGCCGTGGGGAGACGGAG